CCCCCCCCCGCGCTTGGCTAACTGCAGGGAAGGATTTCTTTTCAGCCACAGGCAAACAGCCCAGTAGGAATGGCCACCTCTGTCCCCTTAATTAAATTCCCGTATTTCAACCATGTTACCATGAGCGATATCACTCTCCTGAGGATTACACAGCGAGATAAAGAACGGATGTTGCTGGAATGCCAGCAAACACCGGGACCATATGCTGCCAGGCTTTGTCATGCAATGATACCAGATTACTTGCTACTAGCATGGCGTAGTCAAGTGTCCTACCATGGAGGACGAAATAAGGCTGCACTGCCCAGAAACCTTCTGCAAAGGCTTCTGGAGTACCTCCAGGAGAGCTTCATGGAGATGTCCCTGGAGGATTTCCACTCCATCCCCAGACACGTTAACAGACTTTTCCAGTAGCTGTACTGGCCGCGAATGCATCCCAAGTCCTCAGGGCAAATTAATCATTAAAAAAACGCTTGCTTTTAAACCATTTTATATTTTAAAAGGTAAACTCACCTGAGGTCCCTTCCATGGGGTCATGGTCTTGGGTATAGGGTTGGGAGGGTACTTCAGTCAGGCTGAGAAAAAGATCCCGGCTGTTGGGGAGAACGGAGTGCTGTGTGCTCTCCGCAAGCTCGTCCTCCTCCTCTTCCCCGTCCGCAGAATCCTCAGGTGTAGCTGATGAGATTATCCCCGCCTCGGAATCCACGGTCAGAGGTGGGGTAGTGGTGGCGACCCCCCCCCCCTAGAATTGCATGCAGCTCAGCGTAGAAGCGGCATGTCTGCGGCTCTGACCCGGAGCGACCGTTTGCCTCCTTTGTTTTCTGATACGCTTGTCTGAGCTCCTTGACTTTCATGCGGCACTGCTCTGAGTCCCTATTGTGGCCTCTCTCCATCATGCCCTTGGAGATTTTTTTCAAAAGTTTTGGCATTTCGTCTTTTCGAACGAAGTTCTGCTAGCACTGAATCCTCTCCCCATATAGCGATCAGATCCAGTACCTCCCGTACGGTCCATGCTGGTGCTCTTTTTCGATTATCGGCCTGCATGGTTATCTGTGCTGATGAGCTCTCTGTGGTCACTTGTGCTCTCCTGTGCTGGGCAAACAGGAAATGAAATTCAAATGTTCACGGGGCTTTTCCTGTCTACCTGGCCAGTGCATCCGAGTTCAGATTGCTGTCCAGAGTGGTCACAATGGTGCACTGTGGGATAGCTCCCGGAGGCCAATACCATCAAATTGTGGCCACGCTAACTCTAATTCGAAATGACAATATCGATTTTGGCGCTACTCCGCTCGTCGGGGAGGAGTACAGAAATCGATTTTAAGAGCGCTTTATTTCAAAATAAATGGCTTCGTTGTGTGGACGGGTGCAGAGTTAATTCGATTTAACACTGCTAAATTCGAATTAAACTCATAGTGTAGACCAGGCCTAAGAAGTTGAAGCATTAAGATAGACTTCTCCCTTCTGAAGAGGAAAAAGGGGGAACTCTGGAAACAGCCTACAGTGTCTGTACAGCCATTTAGGGATTCTTCCAGGGTAACAGAAGCATTTGAGAAAAGTTAATAAGAGGCCTTCTAAACTTAGATATTAACTGTTGCCAAGAATTATTTGATCGATATGTTCTTGTCACCCTAAAGACAGCAAATTCCCAATTCAACTTCTGGATCTCAGGAACTGGCCTTGACAAGTTTCATTCACCTAGCCTTTCACCACCCCTACCTCCACTGAGGTGAAACACAAGCCATTAAAATGTAACAAACTATCAAATTAAATTATGGAATCTTAAGTAGGGAGTGGAGATGGGGAAACAAAACAATGTAAGTAGCAAAAACATTAGCTTTCCAAATCAAACTTACCCATTATATAGCAGTTTGGGGTGGCTGTCCACTAAATATTTAGTAAAATGGCCAAATTGTCCCAGATTCTCGTAGGGTATTGTTGAAGGTAAAAAGACTGCCCACTAAGAGAAACATAAACTTTAGTGAAAAAACACACCCCTGAGCGCAGCAAGTTTCAGCGCTGTAAAGCGCCAGTGTAGATAGTGCCCTAGCGCTGGGAGCCGCGCTGGTATCTATGCCCCTCATGGAGGTGGGTTTTTTTTAGAGCGCTGGTAGAGCTGGGAGAGAGCTCAACCAGCGCTCTGCCGTGACTACACAAGCCACGTTAAAGCACTGCCATGGCAGCGCTTTAACGTTGCAAGTGTAGACTAGCCCTTTACTGAATCTGCCAACAAAAGTCCAAAACATAATGGTACCTGCAGTTGTCTCAATGAAACTCAACCCACCACCACTTTTTTCATGCAATTTACTGATTGGCCAAGTGTAACTTTTGGTCACTACGCCCATTAAGAAGTGGTTTTTACCAATACACACTTCTGCCTCAACTTCCACTATGTTGCAATTCTAAAGTATTGGAAACCTGTCTCCCCTTCTGCCTATTCAAAAATTTGTATTACAAGTGCAAAGCTTCACTTTCTCCTATATTTAAAGATGTGTAGTCCATCTTCAAACTCCCCGTTGGATCCCCACTCACTTCAGAATTCAGTTAAATTGCCCTTATTTTAAAAAGCTTTGATGGACATGCTCCTCCTTAGTGTCTTTCATTCCTCAGTTAGAATGGACCTCTTTTTCTGTACAAAATCTAACCACAGTTGCCTCTGTCTGCAATTTTATTTTATTTTTAATTCCAACTGTTGGTAATACTGGTTCAGCTCTCCCACTATTAGAACTGGACAGAAGGCTACTGTACACAAGCCTGCCAAGGTCACCGGTGTTTGACACTATGCCAATTTAATGTACTCTAAGCATGTTTAACTCTCATGGTAGCAGGAGCTGTGTGCGCACAAGAAGAGTGCAGTGCTAGTATCAGGGGAAGATGCTCTGCTCTTTGCAAGAGGGGGATTTTTTTTTTATAGATATACAAAAATCCCTACTCTAGACAAGCCTTATGTAGGAGATGTACCTGAATGGCAGATCTATAGTAGCATTACCAACTTCAGTATCTCCTGGCAAAGTTTGTTTCTGCTGTCAACTCTTGGAGAAGGGGGCGTTATATCCCACTTGCGTAAACAAACCAGGTGGGGTGGGGGAAAATAGCTACCCCTAAAACAACTGCCCTTATTGGGCTGTTTTCATTTTCCTCACCTCATAAATGCAAGAAACCACCTCACTCACTGAACTCCCACAACAATCCCACCCACCCCCCGAGCCCTGACCACCCCTCGGATACACACACCCTGCCCCCAGCATCTTCTAGCCCCCAGCACTTCCCTACCGCCTGCCACACGCACCCTATCCGCTGCCAGCGCCCTCTACCCCCAGCCTCATCCATGCCTCCCCACACCCATTCACCCCAGCCCTGAGCCCCCCAGCGCGGGGCGCCCGGCGACTCACAGCGAAGTAGCCTATGGAGATGGCGATGACGCCCATCCAGAAGCGGCTGGTGCACCTGAAATAGCCGACGGGGTCCCCGGGGGCCGCCGCCATGTTGGCGCTGGCCTCGAGCGCCGCTCACAGCATCGCCCCACGGAGGCGGGGCCGCGCGCCGCCACTGTCGCCCGAGGTGAAGGGGGGAGAAGCGGACTGCACTCGGACCAGACCATTCCCGCCGCGGGGGGAGGAAGTGGGGGCGCTCAGGCCTGAGCTCGAACCTCTCTGCTGGGGCAGAAGGGGAAGCGGTCAGAATCCCAGCCCCGTCCATGGAGAAGCTCCGACCCCCTCTGGGTCTGGTGCCGACAGCTCAGCTCAGCTGCGGGGCACGGTTGGCGGGGACGTGCTGGGTGCATTCGAGCTCCCGGGGCTCGTTGGAGGGGGCTACGCTGAGCGCACTGGAGCGCCTCCGAGCTCTCTCGCTAGAGAGTTGCATGCATTGGGGCGCCATGTAGAGCCGCCCCCATTTCATGTCGGAGGTCTGCTTACTGCACATGCCCTAGCCTCAGATAGATTTTAAGGGCAGCACAGCTTGAGTGTTGAATGCGATGAGTTCCATGCTGCTGCCAGCTTTAGCCCTTGGGGCAGGGAGTTTGTTTAGAAACAGAGGCATGATGATTAAAGTAACAAAAAGCTTGTATTAAATTAAGGATCCTTAGATGATCCTGAAAGCAGTGTCAGGCACTCCAGTTGAAAGATAGGCAACAAAGGGTAAGACTAGAGGTTAGTTCTTAGAATGCAGCGGCATAAATACTAATTAGTGGTGTCCCCTGGGGCGGGGGGAAGGCGGTCTGTACTGGGACCAGTACTGTTCAACGTGTTCATAAATGATCGGGGGGGGAGGGGGGAGAATAAATAGTATGGTGGCAAAATTTGCAGATGATACAAAATTGTTCAAGGTAGTTAAGTCCACAGCAGACTGTGAAGAGTTACAAAGGGTGCCACAAGTACTCCTGTTCTTAAAGGGACCTCAGAAAACTGGCTGACTGGGCAACAAAATAACAGATGAAATTCAGTGTTGATAAATGCCAAGTAATGCACATGGCAAGATATAATCCCAAGTATATATACAAAATGATGGGGTCTAAATTAGCTTCTACCTGTCAAGAAAGAGATCTTGGAGTTATTCTGGATAGTTCTCTGAAAACATCATCTCACTGTTTAGTGGCAATCAAAAAAGCTAACAATGTTGGGAATCATTAGGAAAAGGATAGATGATAAAACAAAATATCATTGCCTCTATATAAATCCATGGTACGCCCACATCTTGAATACTGCATGCAGATCTTGTCACCCCATCTCTAAAAAAGATATATTAGAATTGGAAAAAGTACAGAGAAGGGCAACAGAAATGACTGGGCTATGGAATAGCTTCAGTATGAAGAGAGATTAATAAAACTGGGATTTTTCAGCTTGGAAAAGACAACTAATGGAGATATGATAAGGTCTATAAAATCATTAATGGTGTGGAAAAATTGAATAAGGAAATGTTGTTATTTACTCCTTCACATAACACAAGAACTAGGCATCACCCAATGAAATTAATAGGCAGCAGATTTAAAACCAAAAAAAGAAAGTATTTCTTCACAGTAAACCCATGGAACTCATTGCCAGAGGATGTTTTGAAGGCCAAAACTATAATAGGGTTCAAAAAAGAACTGGATAAGTTAATGGAGGATAGGTCCATCAATGGCTATTAGCTAGGATGGGCAGGGGTGCAACATCATGTTCTGAAGTGTCCCTAGCCTCTGTTTGCCAGAAGCTGAGAGTGGGTGACAGGGAATGAATCACTTGATGATTGCCTGTCTGTCCATTCCCTCTGAAGCACCTGGTATTGGCCACTGTTGGAAGACAGGATACTGGGCTAGATGGACAATTGATCTGACCCAGTATGGCTGTTCTTAAGTTCTTATATATAACCCAGAAGTATCTGACACCCCTCCACACACTGTAAACCACTAGACTCCACTCCCCAGAAGTCCTGTTGGGATCTCTCTCTGTCAGAGTTAGTAACAAAGTAAGAATACACATTAAAATTGTAAACCTAACCAGTGTCCCTTAAGTGACTTGCCACAAGATGTCAGAATATGTTAATATTAGAGCTGAGTGGGTCTAATATTTATTTAATTTTCTTTCTTTTATATAGGAATTAGATACAGTGCTCCTGTCACTTAATTATTAAATTATCTGCCAAAAAACTAGAGTTTTCAGGTCCTTACTTGGCCACTGGAATCATGCTTAAAGTTCCCCCCCTCCCCAAATCTGAAATGGTGCCCCAGGTCGGGGCAAGGGTGGGGGTGTCTTAAATCTTTGCTAACAAAGACAGGTTTTCTACAAAGGGCCTGTCTACTTGCATACTGAGACTTGCTCAGGCAGGTGGTTTTTAATGGGGAGGGGTATTCCCTGTGAATCCCACATTGTGCTCCTCCCCTCCATCAACAGCTTCTTGTTGCTGTTCTCTCTCCCCTCTGACATGGGTTCCATGTAGCACCCTAGGGAAGACCTGTGTCAGCTTGAGCTTTGAGCAGATGCAGCGTGCTGTCATCCTGGCTACTGGGGTTAGAGCCACATGTCTTCCTGCTAGCTTGGGAATTCAAGAACTAGTGCTGCTGTTAGACCACTGGGCTGGATTTTGCAGGTGATTTTCTGAATAGAAACACAAATCCACTTTTGGGATAATTAATTGTAAAGTGAAAAGAACAGGAGTACTTGTGGCACCTTAGAGACTAATAAATTTATTTGAGCATAAGCTTTCGTGGGCTACAGCCCACTTCTTCAGATGCATAGACTGTGCAAGTCACTGAATTTAGCCATATGGAGTGGAAATCCATGTCTATGCCTCTGATGAAGTGGGCTGTAGCCCACAAAAGCTTATGCTCAAATAAATTTGTTAGTCTCTAAGGTGCCACAAGTACTCCTGTTCTTTTTGCGGATACAGACTAACATGGCTGCTACTCTGAAACCTGTCACTAATTGTAGAGTGAATCTGATTTGAAGTAGGCATTGTGGCCCAGGGTAATGAGCAAGTAGTTGTAAGCAGATAGCCTGGCTTTCACTCTGGACAAGTCACCTAGGCCCAGATCCATAAATGTACTTAGGCTCCTAACTTCCATTGATTTCCGTGAAAGTTAGAAACCTAAATACCTTTCTGGATCTGGGACTTAATTTCCACACCTCAATTTCCCCCTTTGTGAAATCGGGACAATCAAAGGAGTGCTGTGTGTGTTAATTAGTTAAACTTGGTACAGTTCTCTGAACATGTAAATAATAATGATTAGTGAGGACATTACAATTAATAATCTCCTAATAGGACCATGTCCCAGATTCTGACCTCAAATCTGTATTTGTACAGGTCCATGAGTTTGAGGTAGGAATTCAGGCTCCATGTTGTCTTTGCAACAGGTGTGGAGACTATAGTTTCCGTTGACTTCATAGTACTACCTTTCCTTACAGAGAGAATTTGCATTTGATTATATCATGGGATTAGAGATGGGAGAAATCTAGTATTAGATTATTCTACAGCCTAATAGATCTCACTACCCGGAGCTTTCCCCATTATTCAGTATTTTCCCCTTTCTTAATTTTACCCCATTATTCTTAGTTATGCCCTTTGTACCATCCTATGCAGTTCCTCTCCATGGCCTCCTCCCCACCCTCTGATCCACTCTCAGAGGGATCGTCTCCTTAGTCACCCCCATCATGGACACGCTCGCACCCCTGGGTTCCCCCGGATGCTTCACTGGTCTTGGGTCCATGCAAGAGGAGTAAGCAGAGATAGGCAAACACATCGTTCCACCCCAGCCCCGGCACTGCAGAAATTCTGAAAACAAGCTAATGCAGCAAGCTATATCTTTTCTGTAGGGCAGCCACAGCTGGGGAAGTCCCTGGTAGTGTGACTCCAAAGGGGCTGTTTTACCAGAGAAGTGGGGTGGGACTGCTGGGGTTTAGCCAGGCCTCCTGGGGATTACCGGGTTTGCAGGGGTGAGTCCCAAAGCCTATTCCATGATGGAGGAGAGATGCAAATCCACAGCACCAGCAGATGTGAGGGAATCCTCATTGAGGTTTTCTCCCACATAGCCTCCTACTACAGGTTTTTCCACAAAAGGGGATGAGATGGGCCCATTCTCGAGATTTATACCCTTCAAATACCCGGTATAGGATTACCACTTTAGCCATCCCTTAGTCTAGCAATACAGCTAACCACAATCTTATGAGCAGCCATTTAGCTACTCCTTTCTAATCCAAATTTTAAAAACAATACAGAGATGGCAGTGGTTTACCTGAAGCTCTGGGTTTTCAAATATTCTAAGATAGTCCATAAAGACCTTTGCAAAACTGGGGTCATCATTAGCTCCTTTAATTGCCTCACAAATCAATTCACCCAGTCCTTTAATTATTTTTGCTTCCCTTCTCTTTATTTCATCCAGTTTATCTAAATCTTTCTGCTGGTGGCTGTCTGGAAGAAACCTGGAACTGCATTCAGATCTCTTTAGAATTGACTCTGAAATTCAGAGGATTTATATCTATCTCTATAGGTATTTGATCAGTTTACTGAATAACCATTTGATTTATTTCCCCCCACCACTGAATTGGCTTAATACTAGATGAAGTGTGTGAAATACTGTGTGCTGTTGCTGCAAACTGACACAGTGGTACATGTAGGAAAACAGCTTGTATTAGCTGTTGCTGATATCTATCACAGTCCATGGAAGAAAATCAGCTGTAGGAATGATAGCTGACAAAAATGGGAAATCTCTTCTCCAGCTGGAGAGCAGAGGCCAGCCCTTGAGCCCTTCCACTTCCAAATATCAACTAGGGAATGGAGTGTGCCCTGTGACAGGCTGCCCTTTGTTGAAGTTCTCTTCTATAGCTCAGTGGTTTGAGCATTGGCCTGCTAAACCCAGGGTTGTGAATTCAATCCTTAAGGAGGCCATTTAGGGATCTGGGGCAAAAATCTGTCTGGGGATTGGTCCTGCTTTGAGCAGGGGCTTAGACTACATGATCTCCTGAGGTCCCTTCCAACCCTGATATTCTATTCTATGATTCTACAGTTAGGAGGTGTAGGATCCTTGGATTCTCCCCAAAAGATTGTTCTAAGGCTGTCTTTGCTGGCCAAAAAGATGTGTTTTTACAGTGGGATAATTAAAGTGAGTTAGTTATCCCACT